TATAAGAAATCCTCTGGCCAAGGGATTAAGAAACCAAAAATTTGCATAGCTTCCCCCCTCTCTATATAAATCTCTAAGTGATAGTGAGGTTTTTGTAGAGTAAAGGGCTGTCAAAATGCGTCATGCACGCATTTGGGAAGATTCCCTTATAAAAGACTTATTTCGAAGGTTCTAAATTCTTCTCTTTTATTTATTTATTTTATTTATTTATTTTATTTACTATTTTGTTTATTGTTTTATTTATTGCTTTATTTATTATTTTATTTATTTATTTATTATTTCATTTATAATCCTCATATACTAATAAATAATCATGTAGATAATAGGTATTTTTTGTCATGTAAATTATATTAAATAATAAAAAGAGATAATATATTTAAAATATTATTTATTATTATGCTAATATCATCATAGTGTACCGATTTAAGGCGATGTAGGGTGCCTAACACTTTTCTTACACATAACCGACTCCCGAACCCAATTTTGGCTATGAAAGCCTTTATTGTAATGTCAAAATCTTTTCTTTTTCTGATATTCTGAGTAAAATATCAGTGATGAATCCTTCAAACTTTTCAAAAACTATTGGTTAGGGATTAGTTTGGTGCTCGGGCATTCCCTAACTGATGAGATTTTCAAAACGGAAGTTCAAACCATTTGTAGGCAAGATCGAAATTTTTCGGGTTCCGGTAATACTCTATTTTAAATGTTTTATAAGAATCTTTTAAGCTCTGAACTATGTTTTTCTTTGATACTCTCTTATTCTTAAATATCATGCATGTTTTCATGGGGAGTCCCCTATGCATCTGCATTAGACTATGATTTTTTTAACATAAAAGTTTTGATCGTCTAAATGCTTTATTTAGAATATGATAATACAAGTTTTGATAAATCTGAATACTTCTCATATATTTTTTAAACTATAACAAATGCTTGAACATAAAATAGACATGCTTTGATATATATGCTTAAATGTGTTCAAAATTCATATGCTCTGATATATAGTCTGGATTGTTAGAAAATAATGGTTCAATCCAAGAGGGGGTGAATTGGATTCTATGACACTTTAAAAATTTTTAGAGTTTTTAGGATCTTTATATCAATTCAAACTTTTCTAAAATGAATTTTCAAAGAAGTTTCTTAAAGACTTGTTAATGAAGAATGAATCCTATATGCTTTCTTGATTAACCAATAATGAGATTCAAAGTTAAGAACAATATGTAATACTTTGATTCAGTTCAAACCAATGTTGCTCATGCAAACATGTTAATCAAGAACAATCTTTTCAATATACAACCAAGATATTGCACAAACTAAAAGATAAGGGTAAGAGAAGATTGCACCACTTGAGAAACCTACTCAAGATTTACAAGTATTCACAAAGAATTAAGAAACGAATTCACCTGGAATTCAGAAGCAAATCTTAATCTTTTTCCTTTCAAGAATGTGATGATGATGATTTTTCTTCAAAGCATTTCAAAAACGTTTTTCTTCTTGGTTTCACAAAGAAAACTCTCCAAGAATGTCATAAAGACTTCACAAACACGTTTTTCTAATTTTGATTCTCAATTCTATCTCTGTTCTAAAGTTTCAAAATGGTCAAACTATTTATAAGTTTTTCAGAACCAGATAATCAATTATTTTAAAGAATAATCGATTATTTTGTTCTTCATGATTTCTGGAAATCTACCAATAACAATTTAATCGATTATTTTGCTAGATAATCGATTATTCCAGAGAGTCATTTCTGGGATAATCGATTATTTCACAAATAATCGATTATTGCAGCAAGGTATCCTTTTTACCCGTTGCTGGAATAATCGATTATATTTAATGATAATCGATTATTTTGAGTTAGTTTTCAAAACTCTATTTTAAGTCTCAAAATAACTTCTTAACCTTTTAAACTCATCATCATACACACTCCTAATCAGATTAGATAAAGATTAGCTCATGCACAAAGCATACACACAAAAATAAGCTCAACAAAACAATTTATAAGCTACTCCTATTACATAACATAATAGCCACATTTTTCTTTGACTTTGTTTTTGACTTCTAAGTTGTTGATGTCCTTGGTCAGCTTTGTTCCACACATTTGTTATCATCAAAACTTTTAATCTCCAGAGGGGAGTTGATTCACCACCATGAATTTCAACATGGATAAATGCTCTAATATCTTAATCTATCATAAATGTTATCGTTTTTTTGTTAGATCTAAGAAAATATGACAAATTACGTGTCATAAGAACATATCCGATTTTTCAATCAAATTTTCTCATATGATTTTTTCTTCAAAATCTTATATATATTATTTATATCAGTTTGATAAAATATTTTAATCAAAGTATATTTTCTCTTTTAATAATACTTTCAGTTTTGTAATCAAAACCCTTTCGAAAATATTAAAATTCATTTTGTTTTTATCAAAGAAAATCTCTTTCAAAATAAAATAAGATTGAATCTTTTAAAGTATGTCTGTCACCATCAAAATGGGGGAGATTGTTAAGTTAGAAGACGATCTTGGATCCCACATATTTTAATGATAACAAACGAAAGATTTCTTTATTTAAAAGAAAATGAATTTTCTACAAAACATTTTATATCAAACAAAGTGTAAAATTTATATCATCTGTAAGATAAAGAGAATTAGACGAAGCATACAATTTGTCTCTTATGTATACCTTTTTATTGAGATTGATAATAAATTTCATTAAATGTTTTATTCCTGAATAGATGGAACAAGAAAGATATGTCTCAGAACTTTCAAAATCTATTACAGAAGGAAAAGTCAAATTATTCGTCAAAAAGAAAAATCCCAAATATTTATGAAAAAAACAGAAAAAAGTTCTACAAGAACTGCTCTACGCTGACATTAACTGCTTTATGCTAACATTACTTTTGTTTTGTCCCTTTTAGAAAGAAATGATGATAAGTAACTTCCTAGATTAGTAAGAGATACACAATTTACTAAAAGACATTTAATGTTTGCATTAAATGAAGCAATAATAATCTTTTTCCTCTAAGATAAACAGTGAAGACAAATGAAGAAACTTGTGAGTGCAACTCAAAATTGCCGCAACGATCATCTTCTCTGAAGTTAATATATAAGGATCATGCATTCAAATAAATACAAATATACACATGCATACAAAGAAACACTCTCTATGAATTTTGTATAGATTATTTTGTACCTTCATTTTTGGTAGCAACACATCTAGAAGAGATGAAACAACCTCACAATCTCTTGTAACCTTTGTTGTAAGGGTTGAGCCTGAAAAAGCTTGTTTGAAAGAATACTTATTTTTTGAGCCTAAAGAGGCTTGTTTGAAAGAATATTTGTTATTAAGCCTAGAGAGTCTTGTTGTTCAAAGAAAACTTAGGTAGTTGCTCGAAGAGACAACTCAAAATTAAAACTACTTAGGATTGAACTAGAAGTGACTTGTTGAAAGAATAGTTATATCTTGTCTAAAAGATAGTGAAACTCAATTAGGTTGGATTGAGAATTTGACATAGTTTCAATAGTTGAGACGAACCAGTATAAAATTTCAATGTTTCATCTAACTTTTTTTCCAACACTTTGTCCGTTAGACATCATAAATGATATAAAATAAATGTTAGTCTAACAGACAATATCTCTCATCTATTTTTGAACAACATCTTATTATAGATAGTGTCTTACACTTTGTTAGATGACATTTCTTATAAAAATATTTTCTCTTAGAAAAACTTTTCAATTGTTATTATTAGAACATGAAAGTTTAAGGATCCAAGATTGTCTTTTGATTTAACAATATACAAATTTTTTTTATGTTGTTTTCATTCTCATATTACTACCATCAAATTACTCACTTTCCTATAAATTATTCATAACTTTTATTATTTTTATTTTAATTTATATTTCTTTTAGAAAGAGTGGAAGCAACAATGAGAGGCTTATCAAGAAAGTGTGTTTGTGTTGAAAGAATGAGTTTGGTTCAAGTAACTTAATTTTATTTTTTTTAAGATCCACATATACATGAAATGTTTATTTTATCCTAGTCCTTGTGACAACCACATATATATGTGATTAGTTACTTCTCACTCGAACACTTAAAATGCCAATTCATATTTTTAATTACGTTAAATGATACCAACTAATAACAGAGAGATTACTATGTAATAATATGCATAGTTAGTTTTCGCTTAAGCACCTAATGTGTTTATTCAACCTTTTTAACAACATCATTTGTAAAAAAACGAAAAAAAAATCATTTTAACAACATTATTATATGATATATGGACCAGTGAAGGAAGTATTAAAATGGTTGATGATTTATAATTTCAGGTCATTTTAACATTTTTTTTAATTTCAGATAATAACTTTGATCTTTATAATTTTAAGAAATAAATAAATTAATAATTTATATTTTCAAGAATTTTTTTTTCTTTTTAATAGTCGTAGATTATTTTTCACAAATTAAAAACCGTAATAAATCTTTTCATTTTTTATGGAATGATTTTAATGTTTTTTATTATATCTTTTTTTATTTTACCTTCATAATAAATACATATTAGTTATCATATATAAATTCATTAAAAATGAAATGAGATATAAGAGTATAATTAATAACATAAAAATTAATATTGTCTTAAAACTTAAAAATAACAAATAAATAGAAGAAAAAAGTTATTAAAAATCCAACAAATAAAAAAGAATCGAGCGACTATAATTTTATTAACTTTAGAAATCGAAATCAATGAGACTCAACATTAAAATTTCAGATACTAATTTTAGAGTGCATTACTCCTAAGACTCAGTGTTACAAAATTTAGATAACATGAAACAGATTTTAGTTTCATCATTCTAGACATCATTATAATAATAATAATAATAATAATAATAATTTAACTTAATACTAGGTAAATCAACGTTTAAAAAACCACTTCCCCAAGGGAATAAAACCCGAAATATACTCTTGTTGCTATTGGATATTCCGAAAATACCCGCGAATATTCTGTTCCTTTGGACCGTTATAAAGTGACGCAAGGCTGGTGTTGTTTCTCTTTTCCTCTTTAACCCTGAGAAGCATGAAATTCGGAAAGAGTCTGAACAAGCAGATGGAGAAAACGCTGCCCCAGTGGCGCGACAAGTTTCTCTCATACAAGCAACTCAAGAAGAAACTGAAGCTCGTCCCCAAACGCCCAAGGCTCCACGTCCACACCTCCAACGGGGAAACCGACTTCACAAACTCCCTCCAACATGAACTCCACAAATTCAACACCTTCTTCCTTGAGAAAGAGGAAGAGTGCATCATCAAATTCAAGGTATGCTTAACTACCATTCTTTTGTATTCCAACATTTTTTTCTTATTAATTATAATTAATAAGATTTTGACACTTTATTTTTTTATTATATTTTTTTTTTTAATAAAAATATTATAAATTAGTTGATATTGTACTTAACTTCCAAATCTTTAATCTAAGTAGTTAGATAGAAAGAGATTAATATAATTAAAAACATGAAGATTTAAGTTCAATTTTTATTGGAATCTATCTTTATAATACTTTCTATTTTTAACTTTTAATATTATTTTTTATTATTTAAAATGAAGTATGATGTTTAAATATTGTATTTATAAAAATATTTAATTTTTAATTATTTTTTATTATTTAAAATTAATGGGTAAAATCATTTTAAAAATGTTAGTTTTATATATATGTTATAGATTATAGATTTTGGTGAAATAAAACCCTTCAACAAAATTTTGATTTGACTTATGTGGAAAGGAAAAAATATTTTGAAGTCACTATTAAAAATAGTTATTCAGGTTCTATGCTTTGATTAAAATTACTGTAATTAAAAAAAATAATTATCTTTTTAAGTTTAATAGTTTTATAAACTTTATATTTATATTTTAATTATTGTACATGTTTTTTTTTTTTAATTCCTGTCATTTATTATTATAAGAACTTAAAGGTAAGTTTTAAAAATTACACTTCTTTCATCTTATAATAAATGTTATGTTAGTTTTCTAAAATAGTATCAGTTATTATTTTATTTTTAAACTTCTCATAATATCTTCTAATATCTTTTAGAAGGTAGTTATCGATTTTTGTGTTACTTGATTTCTAGCAAAGATTTCATATTTTAATTTTGTAAATTTATTAATCTATTTATTAAATAATTGAGAATTAAAATAAAATATTTTTAACTATAAAAGTTAAAAGGTACTATTGCACAATTATAAGAACTAGAAGTGTAATTAAATTAAAAATAAATAAATAAATAAATAAACTTTAAACGGTCATGCGAATATACCCGGCATAAGCTGCTATGTCATAACTGACGGATCATGAATTGAGGGGGTTGCCTCATTTGATGTTAAAATTTTTTATAATTTTATTCTTAAATTTTTAAATGATAAAAAGTAATATTAAAAATTAATCATTCATATTTATATAAGACTGAAGCTCATCATTAGACTTGTAAATCAAATGTAATACCTTCTTTTAAATAAAGACACGAAGTGTCTGCTACTAATTCTAATAAATTTCTTGAATTGGTTAATGTGCGTGGCTGGATAACTTACAATTTTGCTGTGGTCAAAATGTGTAGGAGCTACAAGATAGGGTGGCTACGGTAAAAGATTCTAATGAGTTAATGCAAATTCGCAAGGAAATTGTGGATTTCCATGGAGAGATGGTCTTGCTCGAAAACTATAGTGCCCTTAACTACACAGGTACGTTCCACATTGAATATTGATCTTGTGTTCTTAAATTAGATTGCCTAGAACAAGTCATGGGCACTATTTATAGACTTCTAAACTGAGAGAATAATATGTTATATGTGTAACATAGCGGTGTGACTAATTACTAAATACAAAAGAAAGTGTAAACATGATTCATTGCACACATTCAGGTTTTCTATTGGTCCTGAAAATTCTTTGGGCAGCTTGGTAAAAGCATCAATATGCTTCCACTGAAATGGGGCATCTACTTGGAATATTTTCCCCTCCTATAATCCAGAGCAATTAACAAGTAGTCAAACTAGTTTGTGAAAGATATATCCTGTCTTACTTGTTCTGCTTCCTTAAATATCCATCAGTCAAGTAAGTCTTTGAGTGTACATTTTGTCTGACAAATTAGTATTTAAAGTTTCTATGTAGGGACATCATATGTAGTTTTCATCAACCAAGGATTAACATGATTGACGTAACATATTTGGATCAATTTAACTATTTAGTCATGTAGAGTGACTTCTTATTCTTCTGTCCACTTTATGAAATCCAATGCATGACTGTATTTCTGCAAATATTATAATTAAATATTGTGATGAATTCCTCAAATATTCCCTTGTTACAAAATTTACAATGATGATCACTTCGCCGAAAACTAAAAACCACGACAATTGAACATATCAAATTGATATTTATCCCTCTTAAGTTCAAAAGGCATAAATCTAGATGTTTTATTAGGGGGGATAAATGCAGTTATTCTAGATTGAATGGCATTATAGAGACTAGTGGAAAAGGAGGCATTTCGCAACTCCATTATAACTTCTTTTGAATACACATATATTATGTGATTATTGACAGTTTGAAAAATAAAACTTCATTGTAAAGAGACTTTTTTTTTGTCTTATAAAGGATTAAATTTGCCATAAATAAAGTGTATAATAAAATAAGGATTCGACATATTTTATATATGATGAGTGTAAAGTCGATATTTTATGGTAAATGAAGATTGATTTACCTAAGATTCACATCAACAACTCAATATATCTGAGTATTTGCACTATTTTCTTGTGTGTACAGGACTAGTGAAAATACTAAAGAAGTATGACAAGAGAACTGGTGCCCTGATTCGCTTACCTTTCATTCAGAAGGTCTTGCAACAACCTTTCTTCACCACTGATCTTCTCTACAAACTCGTGGAGGAGTGTGAAGCAATGCTGGACCGCCTTTTCCCGCCGGCGGCTTCCGGCGAGGCAACTCTCCGAGCTGATGATGATCTGCTGATACCTAAGGAGTTAGCAGCCATCCAGCACATTGAGAGCCTCTATATGAAGAGTACCATCTCAGCTTTGCATTCTTTGCAAGAAATTAGAAAGGGAAGCTCAACAGTTAGTATGTTTTCATTGCCACCATTGAAGATAAGTGGCTTGGAAGAAACATGGAACAAAATTCCTGTTCTGGAACAAACAGCCAAGTGATAAGGGATGGAGTTTAGGGCCTCTTTGATTCAAGTTTAGAAATGTTTTTTTTGAAAATTTTAGAGAAAATAACACTATATTTTCGATATAGACACTCTTAAGACATTTTGGATGGGATGGGGAATTCACTTTTTTTGGCTTTTCTTTTTCTTTTTACTTTTAAAATCCAGTGCATATGTAACAGATAACAACACGGATGTAAGATACCAAATTATAGTCAAAATATTGATATTGTAGAATTACTAGTGGTAGGCCCATGCAAGGGTGTGGACAATGAATCAATTAATATTTGATATTATTTAAAAATATACATATTTACATAAATATTAAATAAATTATTTAAATATCTATTTATATATCTAATATATTGTAATAACTATGTTATATATAAGAGGAGAATTCAAACAACATTGGTGTAACTTTTATTAAGTATTACATTATTTTATAACTTTATATTAATGTGAATTTTATAAATTCATTCGTTAAATTAAAATTTTTTTACTATTAGATCATATATATATAATTTTATATTAGTCCAAGATGATTTGATACTTCATTCTTATAAAACAAAATTGACGTAATATATAAATTTCAAAATATAATAAAATCTAAATATTTTGACTATCTTCAAGTTATTGTTCAATTTTAACAAAATTTGATATAAACATATAAAGTGATATGAAGTTATAATTCAACAGTTGGATTTATAAAATCCACATTTAATATAAAGTTATTGAGTGGTATTGTAACGTAGTTAGTAGACTAGAATGAGCGTTCCCAGATTGGAACGAGCCGTTCCAAACTACTAAAACAAGGGTGATTTAGTAGCCTAGAACAGGTTGTTCCCAAACTGGAACAGGCCGTTCCAAACTACTAAATAGGCAAATGAATCTTGGACTGGAACAGACCGTTCTGAAATGGTCATTGTGAGTTTAATTCAACTCCAGAACGGGCCGTTCTAGTTTCAGAACGGATTGTTTTGCATGTGAATTTTACACATGATGAAGGAACCCAGAACAGGTCGTTCTGGATTTGAAACGTGCCATTCTGGCCACTTCAGACTTCTATAAATAGAGGTTGTGCAGTTGAGGAGAAGGAGAGGTTTTTAGAGATAAGTTTTAGAGAGAAGGACTCTAGACTAGGAAGCTTGCTTTGGGTGGATTGAAGTCCCAAGTTGAGCTTCAGAAAGGAAATTCCACTTCTTCTTAGTTTTTGGCTATTCTGAGTCAATCTTCAGGTAAGGGAAGCTAGATTGTATGTTGATTGGTTGTATGTGAGTTTAGGAACTCATATGGAGTTGTATAATTACATTGAGATGTATGAAGAGTAGAAAGTGAAATGAAGAGATGCATGTTGAGTATAGTGAAATTGTTTACAAGTTGTGTGTTGATCTATGATATTGTTGAAGCATGTTGAAATTAAGTTGATAAAGTTGCTATATGTTATGTGTGGACATGTTTATGTTGTGAAATATGATGAGATGATATAGTTGAAAAGTTGTGAAGGGCATGATGATAATATTGTGAGTTGTGAGAAGCATAATGTGAAGTGTGTAGATGTGTGTGATTTATATAGATGTTATTAGTAGACTATGTTGTTAAGTTGGTAGAGAAGAGTTGGATGTGTGATATTATTTTATGATGATTGAGTTGTAAATTATGAGTTGAGATAATAAGCTGTTGAGTTGATTGTGCTGTTTAAAGTTGAAATGAGATGTTGTGTTGTTAAAATGTGTTGTTAAACAGTGCTGATGAGTTGTTGTGTTGATATACCATGTTGTTTAAGTTGAAAGTTGATTGAGATGATGAGTTAAAAAGTTGTACGTTGTTTAAGTTATTGAGTTGTAAGATGATTAAGCTATGATGATGAGTTGTTGATCACTAGGACT